CCCTTTTTCAAAACCCAATTATATCCTCCCTCTCCCCTCCCTACCCTATGTGCTGTCTCTGGTAATTCACTGTCACCCCAACCTCCAGATCTTCAAGCATATCTGAGAGACTGAATCGTACTGGCAAATCTAAATCACATCCTGCCTGCCTGGGTGTTCAAGTGTTTCCTGGGTGAGAATCTTCCTCCCATCTTGACAGTGAGCTCTCCCGGACCAGCACGTTCTTCCCTCGGTGGCGGGACTACCTTGAGGGCTGGATGACCTGGGATCTGGGAAGAACCTTTCACGTGGCAGACAGTGTCAGAAGCCAAGACCAGGTTCTTGGCCCACTTTCTGTGGCCTAGTGAGATAACCATGCTATTTTTCCTGAACTTGTGTACTAAAGAAGGATCTCATCATAGATTTTAAAAAAGAATAATGCTAGTTTTTTTTTTTTCTAATTCATTAAGAATAATTTTTTAACCTCTAATTTAAAAAATCATTCAAGGAATCTTTAAGTGTAGTAAAAAAAATTTTTTTTTTTTTAAATCAAGAATTTCAGCTAAACAGAAGAAAGAAAAAAAAAATACCCTATTCTATTGTCACCCAGAAATAACCACAGTTAGTATTTTGCTGAATTTTCTGGATTTCTGTGGCATATAGTGTGCATTTCGATCAGAAGAGGTTGATGGATACAGTTTTGTGTTGTGCTTTTTTTCACTCACATATTTTCCATGGCATGGTTTACATCATCACTGTTTTGGTTTTCATTTATGTGGAGAGTGGATGGTCCATCGTTGATTTAAGCAGCCCCTGGTCATGGGGTTCTTCGGTGGTGCATATCATCCTTTGACTCTTGTGTTATCTCCTCTGAGGGGATTCTGTTGGGGTTTGCTTGAGGCAGCAAAATGCAGTGGGACGTATAATGCATCTGGAGTTAGGATTTGAGGAGTCAGGAGGCTACGCTGGGCTACACAGGGCAGGGTGGGAGGGACCAGGGAAGACTTGATCCAAGGAAGTGGCTGTCACTCAAGTCTCTTTTGCTCTCTGGGTTTCACTTGTAAAAGGAAAAGAGTAACATTGAATGATGTCAGAAGACTCTTGTAGTGCCTCATCTGTGCTTTTGGAAGCAGGAGGTAGTCAGTCACTGCCAGCAGACTCTGGGCTGGAGAGGAGTTGAATATTGAAGATTGGAATGGTGGCAGCAGCAATGAGCTCAAGTGTAACAATGGGGAGGATGGCATAGGACTGGACTGTGTTTCATGCTGTTGCACAAAGGGTCACTATGAGTCTGATCCAACTCGACAGTACCTACCAACTCCTGATCGCTTCCAAGAAGACTGAGGCCCCAGAAAGGTCCAGAGAGTGTGGGCTAAGAGCATAGTGTGGCCAGCTGAGGCAGAAGGAAGGAGGTGGTGTGCCCAGGCCTCTGTGCTGGATGGGCCCTGAGCCTCTGGGCTGCCTGGGAGCATGTGGAGTCTAGGGCTCTGCTTCTTACAGCAGAAAACACACCGAGTAAATCTATACAGAACCTCTCTCCCCATCCCTTCTTTTTTGCTTTTTATTTATTAAGCAAATTTAGGTAAGTGTTTGTTTTCAGGATTCTTGCCTGTAGCCCTTATCTGGCCTAATGGCTGAGGAATCTTTAAGTGCAGGTTTAGAAAACATCCTGAACCAGGCAGATAGTCTCAATCTGACCCTCACTGAGTTCCTCTTGAGCAGCTCTTGTTGCTTTGTGTCTTGGCCCAGTTGGGACTTACTGTCATGTAAGTAATAGAGAGCCATGATTTGACTGTGGCTTTAAGTCCAGGGTGATAACATGAGTGGGGAAATTTTCTGGATGGAGAAATTTTCTGGATGGCAGTGTCTTTCTTGCTCTTGATTTTCAGAGCAGCATCAGTAACAAAAAACCCTCTCATTTTGTGCTCTGAGCTTCTGTTGACAAAGCATTGCATTCATGGTCCACTTAGCAGGGATTGAGGATACTCAAGAGTTGTCCAGGGTCCTAGAGCTCCTGTGTGGCTGAGTGAGACTCTCAGTGTCCCTGCCTTTCCATCCATTGCCTTTTACTATGGGCTGGGCCCTAGAATCCAGGGAGAGAAACTAAAGAATAAAAGTGTAGAGCAGGGAGCCTGGAATATGTAGGTGGCCAGAGTGGATCTTCTGTTTGCCCATTGGAGGCCTCCTATGGTGGATTTGTTGTTGTTGTTAAGTGCCATCAAGTCAGCTCTGACCCATACCGACCCTGTATAGGGTTTCCAAGTAGCAGCTGGTGAGCTTGAACTGCCAACCTTGCAGTTCAAATAAATGACTTTGCAGTCTGGCGTATTAACCCACAGCGCCACAGCAGAACTCCCCTATGGTGGATGTTATTGTTGTAAAGTTCCGTTGAGTCGGTTCTGACCCATAGTGACCCTGTATAGGGTTTCCGAGGAGCAGCTGGTAAGCTTGAACAGCCGACCTTGTAGTTCAAATGGCTTTGCAGTCTGGTGCATTTACCCACAGCGCCACACCAGGACTCCATATGGTGGATAGGGGCAAGGAAAGGAGACCTGCCTGCATCTAGTTTGGCGTGTTTCTCATATAATATGATAGATTTAGAGGAAAGTCTAGACTCAAGGGTAAGGATTCCTACCTAGTTCTCTGTTCCTCTGGTTTCAGCTCCAAACCCTTTTCTAGGATGCACAGATAAGAGTACTTTTGCCCCCTCCCCCCTTTAAAAAAATGGTGAGTCTAGAATGATATGTTCGTTAAAAAAAAAATTAAATAATTCCAAAATGTATAAAGTAAAAAATGAAGTTCCCACTCTTATTCTCTCCCATCATTACAGAAATTTCATTTTCCTTTATCCCCTTCTAAATTTTTAACATCTGTTTGGTGAGTATCCTTTCAGATCTTTTGCTGCATGTGTGCAAACCCAGAGATACACTGTTGTGTTTATTGTGTTGCTATTTAAATATAAAAATAGGACCATGCTTTTCTCTCTCTCTCCTTCTCCATCTCTGCAACTTGCTTATTCCAACAAAGTAGGTGGGCAGTGTGGGTCCTTGCTTCTCCCTGAAATCTGCTTATCTCCTTCTTCAAGAGGAAAATCATCAGAATAGCCTATCCCAGAGACACTTTCTTTGTTGTTGTTTTTTTTGAGACACTTTGTTTAAAACCCTCACTTTTAGGCTGCGTCCCAGAGAGACGAAGGAAATGCCCCATTTGTGGCAGACCCAGAGCCTGGGCCCAGTTCTGGCTTTTATAACATCAGGGCTGTACATTTTAAAAAGTGCCTTTCTGTTGTCATCCCTTTGGACCCATCCTTAAGCCGTCCCTGTGAAGTCAGCAGGACTGCAATTATGGAGGCTTGGGATGTGACGTGGCTTGCCTGGGTTTAGTGCCAAACGAGCCAGGAACCCAGGGCTCTTTGGTTGAGTTCCGTTCACCCAATCTAGTAGCCCCCTCCCTTAATTCACGACCTGCCCAGAGAGAGGCAGGGACTTCCTGAGGGCTGTTGTGTACAAGGTGCTGTGGTTGTAGAGCCAGCATGCTTGAGGACCCTGCCTGGAAGTTTTCACTGGCCATTCCTTGTGCTTCTGGGGTAGTGGGGCTCCCTGGAGAGACTTCAATCATCCCTAGGAAAGGCCTAGATTCCAGGCTTGGGCCAAGGGATTGGGATCCCTGAGGGTGTGAGGGGAGCCTGTGACCTGTCACCACTGACCCCGCACTTCCTGTGACTCTCTCCTCACCCCCACTTCCACTGTCCCCCTCCATCCATCCACTCCATGGCTCTTGGTCCACTTGTGTCCATCTATCTTTCTCTATGTGTGATTCCTGCCCTGTTTGCTCGGTCATACTATTGCTGCCCCTCTCCCTCATGGCATGCTTTCCTTCATGCCATTGCAGGCGTACTGGTCACCATGACAACAGAGACAGGCCCTGAGTCTGAGGTGAAGAAGGCTCAGGAGGAGGTCCCACAGCAGCCTGAGGCCGCCGCTGCGGTGACCACCCCAGTGAGTCCTGCAGGCCACGGCCACCCTGAGGCCAACTCCAATGAGAAGCAGCCATCCCAGCAGGAAACTCGGCCTGCTGAACAGGTCAGTCAGAGCATGCGCAGTATGGGCCACTTCTTTCTACCCAGTCAGAGCCAGTTTTAAGTCCCAGGGTTGTAATGGACTGTTATGTGCTGAACACTGTGCTGGGTCATTGTGTTCATTTTTATATTGAATTCTCCCAAACCTAAGAGGGTAGCTATTAATTTTTATATTTTACACTTGGAGAAACTAAGTTACAGCAGGATGAAATGAGTTACTCAAAATCATTTTGTCATAAAGTGATAGAGGTAGAAGTCAAATCTAGATCTGATTTCTAAGACCTGTGTTCCTTCAGTTACATATTCTACCCCTAAGCTTATCCATTTTGGCTTGGCAAACTCAGTGTAACCCCAGAGAACAATTCATCAGCCTAATGTTACAATCATCTAGTAGCCACCTCCCTTAATTCACCACCAAGGTCACTGAGGGAGTCAAGTGCAGACTTAGATCTAATGGACTCCCTGCCCTCCATTAGATCAATCCACAAACTCCCAGCCAGTGACAAAGCAGAGGAGGAGGTAAGATGAAGATAGAAGCTTTGATCACTCGCTTACTGTCCTGGAAGATAAGTCAGCTGTGGTCACTGGGCCAGTTTGGTTTTATAGAATGCTTCTCAGTAGCCTGCTGGGAGGAAGTGGACCCCTCACATAAGTTGACCCCATTGCACATGGAAGCTCAGGCTCTCCTCCGTACACTACCCATAGATCCTGGTCATCCTATTTGTGAGTCTTGGAAGACAGCCCAGTGTCTCACAGCCAAATGAGTCACTTGAAGGTTCCGTGATAAAGATGTTATTTAGGTATAGGGAGGTAGCCCAGTGGCCAGCAGCTCTCGTTTTGGGGCCCGTCTCAGCTCCAGCTGCCTTCTTACAGCTTCTCATATGTATAAATGGCTATAATTTCAAGTACACTAACCCAGCTCTTCTTTTGGTTGAACCTACAGAGCCTAGACATGGAGGAGAAGGATTATGGTGAGGCCGATGGCCTGTCAGAGAGGACCACACCCAGCAAGGCTCAGAAATCACCCCAGAAGATTGCCAAGAAATACAAGAGTGCCATCTGCCGGGTCACTCTGCTTGATGCCTCCGAGTATGAGTGTGAGGTGGAGGTAGGGAGTGCTCAGCACCTGACTTACAGGCCCCAGAGAGCCAGTTCAGCCTGCTAAGTACACTCAGTCTGGCCAAGCTCAAAAGGCCTCCAATCTTCATGAAGCCCTGGACTGACTGCAAGATCCTGTAGAGATGACCTGGCTGGTCCTCCTTTGTGCAGATGGCTGTGCTGAGGCCCAGAGAGGGCTGTTATCATTATAAATAAAAGTAGATGAGTCACAGAGCTGGTGCCAAGGAAGGGAAAGGTTTCTCAGGGTGGCTATACCTTGGCAAGGAAGCCACCATATTAGCAACTGTCACCTTCTGAGCAAGCTCAGGCTTAGGAACTGGGCTTTTCTGTCTCTCTTAGCAGAAATTGATGTTTAAACTAGAGTCACTTATTTATTGAGTGAAAAGAAGGGTCCTCCTTTTCTTGTGAACTCTAAGCCATCTAGGGCATCACCTCTCATCTCTAGGCCGAATAAATCACCTGAGGTTTCCATGGCAAATGTGTTATTCAGGTATAGGAAGGCAGCCCAGTGGGAGGATGCTCTCACCAAGATGTGTAGAAACTCCAGTGGCATGGCCCTGTCCCACTGTGGGTGCCAGGGAAACCACGTCCTCTCTGGGGTGGGCCCCACATTTAGTGTCTTTCATACCTATTTGAACTCAAACTCATACCCTAACTTTGAACCCTCACTACCGCCTCCGTGAGCTGTTATTCTCTTAGAGATTCCACCCCAGTCTGTCCCTTCTCCATGTGTATGGAAGAGTTCAGAGGTGTCACCACTGAGATTCATAGGCGATGCCTCCTTTTCTCCCTTATGCTCTGTTTTGAAAGGCTATGACTTGTTTCTGATTCTTGGTTGGCTGAGTCCCTCTTCTCTGCTGTGCTGTTTTTTGTTATTTGTTTTGTTTTGTTTTCTGTTATTGTTCATGTGTTTCTTCTACAGTAGTGCTCTAGAGTAACTACCTTCTCTACTGGACTCCTGGGCAAAAGAAAGGAGAATGCCTTATTTCTTTTTCCTCCCACCCACATCAGCCCCAGATGCTGCCTGGTTCAGGAGAGGGTAGAAGATTTGGGTGCAGCTAGATCCACTCTCTCTGATGGACCCCTCCAGGTTCAGGAAATTCCTCACTTCCCAAAGTTGCCTTCTACAATTAGGCTGGTCCAAGCCCCTAGTGTCATAGCCAGACCTCCCAAAACCCTCAGTTTCTCTCTCTGAAGTCCTCTACCTCTTTGGGTAGTGACTCCCTCATGTCCCCTCTGCCCTGTGACCCCTTTACATCTGTGAGTTTGGAGCACCCAGACAGCTTCTGGGTTTTCTCATTCTGAATCTTCAGGATTCGATGGTGGTCCAGAGAGCTACAAAGCCTGATTATGGGTTGAGTTAGGGGAGAAGGTGATTTTCTAACAGAAGTATATCCAGTTGAGGTTGATTTCGACCCCCCCGTACCTCTGTAAAAGTCCATTCACTACCTGCCCAGGTTGGGGTGACACTCCAGGCTGGGCTGCTTTCGTTTCGCTTAGACTTGGGTGTAAGGAAAGTGTCTGGGGAAGGAGATTCATACTCGGACTCTAGTCCCAGTTTTCCCACTTCTCCCCAAGCCCTCTTCTCTCATATTTCAGGGAGGCCTTTTATTCCTTTCATACCCAGAGCTTAGAACCTTGATTTTCTGCCCCTTGGGTCTAAGTTGTTGTTGTTTTGTTAAGTGCTGTCGAGTTGGTTCCTAGTCATAGCGACCCTGTAAAGGCTTTCCAAGGAGCAGCTGGTGAATTTGAACCACTAACTTTGTGGTTCAAACCGACCTTGTGGTCCAGTGAGTCTAAGTTAGCCTCTGGTAATTGCTATAATGGAAAAAGAACCAATTACTTCTTTACCCTTATCCCAACTTCTTCCCAAGCAAGGCTGAGACCCAGCAGAGTCTGGACGAAGGCAGTTGATGAGCTGTGTCTCAATGGCACTCGCTGGGGTCCCTATGGACCTAGGGAGCAGAGCCAGGGAGGTGGCAGATAATATCAAGCATTGTCTAGACCCTGAAAGACTCTAGGGTTTTCTTGAGTTGTCTTGGTGGAGCCTGGGGGATCTTTCCCTCCATGCTCCCCCTACGGTGTGTTCTGACCTCACAGTAGCCCTGTTCTCCTCTTCAGAAACATGGCCGGGGTCAGGTGCTGTTTGACCTGGTGTGTGAGCACCTCAACCTGCTGGAGAAAGACTACTTTGGCCTGACCTTCTGTGATGCCGACAGCCAGAAGGTACCTGGGCTAGGGAGGAGGGCTGGGCAGAGAAGGCCTGTGGGTGTTAGACCTCCTCCTGTAGACCCCATAGTCTTTGCTTTATCCCATGACTTCCATCAGTCCCCAGATCTTCATTGGGCACCTCCTGATAGTATATCCTCATGATTCAGCCAGCCCTACCTATTTCCCAGTTCTCTGCCTTTCTCCTCAGTCTGCTCTCCACAGTTGTTGCTTCCTTTGTTGGTGACATGTAAGACATTCCCAAGTGGGTATTTGAAGAGCTGTGTGTCACATGACTGCTTGAGTTGCCTGGGGGAGTGGAGGAGTGTCTACCCCAAGTGCCTCTTCCCTCCTTTTGGGAAATCTTCCCTGGGTTTCCTCCTTTCCACGAGTCTACATGAGCTCTTCACCTTGGCTGCCTCAGGGCAGTGCCAGCCCCAGGAACCAGGTGCCCAGCCTTGTGGTGAATCCAGTTCTCATTCCTCTTACCTCCCAGTCCTAAGAAGGAGGGCCAGAAAGCTAAGCCACGACAGAATGCTCCCCGTTAGGAAATATTGATAGGCCCATTTCAGGAGCCTTTTCTCCACAGCCTTCTAAAGAATTCTGTCTCCTCTTTCAGAACTGGCTGGACCCCTCCAAGGAGATCAAGAAACAGATCCGGAGTGAGTGGCATTCTGTGGTTGGAGATGTGGCGGTAGGGAGCTGGGGCTCCAGGCCTACGAGGGCCCTAACTGTACTGCTTCCTTCTGATTTGGAGAGTACATCCCAATTCTGTGGAGTCCATGACTTCAAATCTTTGTGAAGGCAGGCAGGAACTGCTACTTGCCATTATTTTGTAGGTGAGGAGTATGAGGCCCAGAGAAGAGACATGACTGTCCACTTTCACATGACAAGTTAGCAGGAAAATCATAAACTTATTCAGGATGTCAGCCCTATAAGGGACCTCCAGGGGGCAAACAGGTGGCAAGTATGTTGTTTCCAACGCAGGACTGGTGCACATATTAGTATTCATTGATCCTTTACTCAGCCACCAAATTCTTATCCACACAGCACTCTAGGCTACTGCCAACTGATTGGCATTAAAATACCAGGTGAAAGCTGTTCTTCCCAGCACTGATCTTGGCCTACTTTTGTCATTAGAGATGGGGTGACTAAGGTCCAGAGAGAGGCAGTCATTAGCTGAGTGTCAGAGAGTGAAATATTGGCAGAGTCAGGCCATAAATGCTGGCCTCCCAATACTACCCCATGCTCTTTTCAAGGCCTGGGGTGAAGGCAGATAAGCAGGTTGACAACCTGTCCTTTCTGGCCCAGAGAGAAAAGACATGTTGGGAAGGCTGGAGCAGTGTTCAAATGGCAGAAGGTGGAGGTAGGTGGCCTCAGAAACATAGAAAAGATAGAGACCTAGAGGCAGAAATGCCTCCACTGTAGGCCCTCCTCTTGCTGTGGTTGGTTGCCCCTGGACTCCCTGGTCCCCTGGCTGGAAAGCTGTAGCTGAGCTTGTTGCCATGACAGCAGGCAGCTGGGCCCAGGGATGCCAGCTGACTCTGTCTGTGGGAGGGGGCTCACAAAATTCTTCCTGTGGGTTCCTGTCAATTAGAGACAAAGAGGCAGGCACACAGACAGAGTGTGCGCCTCTGGGGTTGACGGCGTCCTAGCCCTAGGCTCCAGGCTGTCCCCCAGAAGTCCCAGGCCAGCTGGGAGGCCTGCCTTCATGTCCCAAAGAATTGGAGCACATACAGGCAGCTGAGTGTGCAGTGTTTGATAAGAACCAGGGGCTTGGAAAAAGAGAAGCAGCCGGACAGAATCATAGGGCCTCAGCATCCCTCCCCAGAGTAGTAAACCCATGCCTCTAGTGCATAGCCCCTGTCAGCACAACTCCGACTTTGTGGCTGCTTCCTCCTCGTGGGCCACCTCAAGTCAGTGAGGAACAGCCCCACATTTTTAGCAAGTGCCTCCTTCAGTTGAACTATCACCATTCCTTTAACTTCTTCCCATTCATCCTGTTTCTACTTTCTGGGGTCCCAGTGGAACCATTTTTGGCCTCTATGCTTTTCTTTGTGATATCCCCTCAGTCTTTTTTTTTTTTTTTTTAATGTTTTATTGTGAATTATATGATAGTTTACATGGGGGAACTTCAGTTTTACATTCATTCCATCATATATCATCTCACTGCCATGGTTCCAATTCCCTCCATGCATCATCAACCACCCAAAGGGTATATTCCAGAAATCCACCCCCTACAATTCCCCCTCCTCCCCCCAGTTTTCGGCCCACCGTCCCTTTCCCTCTCTGGGTCCAAAGTCCCCAGTCACTTCATCACTCCATGTCATCATCACTGTCTCCATCTCAGGCATCTTTGTTTCTCTGGGCAGGGTCCCACCCTTGGCTCTTCTCCATTGATGGTCCCAGAGGTCTCCGTTCCTGTCCTGGAGAATTAATCATTCCCTTCCTTGTTACAAAACTTCTACCTTTGCATTTCCAACCCTCATAATCCTCCCCTCAGTCTTTTGAAGGTAGCACCGTGAGTCTTTGTGTCCTGGACTTCAAATTTGGATATGGTGGTGGTTGGTGGTTATATGCCGTGGAGTTGATTCCGACTCATAGCAACCCTATACCGGCTCTCCAAGGCTGTAAATCTTTACAGGAGCAGAAAGCTTCATCTTTCTCCCACAGAACAGCTGATAGTTTCAAACTGCTGACCTTGAGGTTTGCAGCCTGATTCATAACCACTATGCTACCAGAGCTTCTTTTTCTCCCTAATCTCAACACTCGTAACCTAGGGTACCTAGGGCACCTGGAGCAAGTCCTCCTCCACCTCTCTTGGCCCTGCTCCTCCTCATCAAGTAGATCAGTAACTCCTGCCTCATAAGATGGGCATAATAATTAAAGAAGTGTATATGAGCAGGCCAACACACAGCAGGTACTCAGCCGATGTTTTCTTCTCTTTGCTTTCCTGAGGCAGTATGATGGTGTGGATAAAAGGACAGACACTGGGGCCCGACTCCCTGGGTTTGCATTCTGGCGCTGCCTCGATCTCTTTTGTTGTTTAATTGTTCGATACCTCAATTTTCTTGTCAGCATAATGGTGGTAATCATAGTTCCTATCTTTAGGGCTGTTGTGAGGATTAGGTGAGTTATTATGTGTGAAACTCCTATTACAGTGCCTGCATACAACAGCACTCTGTATCGATTGTTATTATTATTACTCAAACGGCTTTTTCTTTGGTGTCATTGTTAGTCATGAGCCTGAACTCTGAGGGCAGGTGACCAAGGTTTGGTTCCTGGTTCTCTACCACTAAGTGACTCTGGGAGAGTGATTAACCTCTCAGAATCCTTATCTACAAAAAGGAAAGTCTGCCTCAGGATGCTTCTGATGATCAAATCCTATAAATGCATGGGAGGTTCTTAGCAAAGTGACCAGCATTTAGTAAATACTTTGGACACGTTATCAGGAGAGACCAGTCCTTGGAGAAGGACATCATGCTTGGTAAAGTGGAGGGTCATTGAAAAAGAGGAAAACCCCAACACAGTGGATTGACACAGTGGCTGCAACAATAGACTCAATGATTGTGAGGTTGGTGCAGGTCTGGACCCTGTTTCCTTCTGTTGTACAGACAGTACCTGTCAACAGCAGCATGTCAAGAATGGTGGTGACAACATGGCTTCTAGAACCTTCACGACCGCTACCATGCCCTAGATTTGGCTTCCTGTTGTCACGGACATTTTTCAAGCATGGAACCCAAAATGTCCCAGGGCTCTAGGAACAGTCCAACCACAGTGGAGATGGGCAAGGAGCCTTCCTTGCTTTGGATTGTGCATTTACATTAATTCTGCCCGAGGATGTAGCGCTCTTTCTAGCACCACACACTCTCTCTCCCTCTCCCCTTCTCCCTGTGTCTGTCTCCTCTTCTCTCCTTCCCCTCCCCCTCCACTTCCCCTCTTCTCTTGTTTTCCTCTCTCCTCTCTTAAGCAGGCATTCCCTTCTCTTGGCTTGAAGAGCTTGTTTCCAAAATCGTTAGCTTTTAGTCTCATCTGTACCTACTTCTAAGTGCACTATGGGTTTTCCCCATTAAATACAGAGACTCGTATTTCTCTCTGTAAATTGTCCCTTTGTTACTTTTGGCCTATCCTTTTTGCTTGTTGTTGTTGTTGT